AAAAAAAATTTTTAAACAATAAAGAAAATTTAAAATTAATAACATGAACAAATTATATATATGCATTTATATATGTTTATTAAAATTTATCATTCTTTAGAAAAATAATAATTATTTAATGATTAGTCAAATAAAAGCATAAAAATTATAAATTAAATATTTAATATAATATAATAATAGAACTTACGTAAATAAAAAATGGAGTAAAATATAACATTATAATTAAGTTATATTTAATATATAAAATTATATTACTCCTTTAATAAGTTACATATATTATATTTTACAATAAATTGGAAATCAATATTGTAATTTACAATTAAAACAATATAACTTTTCTATACATAATCTTTCTACAAATAAAAAAAAATTTTCAAAAAATTTAATTCACGTATCTAAAACTTTAAACTCAAGATACTTTGTGAGACACTGTATATAACCACATAACACATCACTAAATTCTTTTCATTGGGAAAAATATCTAAAAATGAAATATTTTATTTCTTAATATAGTTTATAAATATTTTTTTCTAAGTAATTATCATTTCAAAATGATTGAAGAAATTTTAATAATAAATGTTTAATAATTTGATAATGAAAATGCACTAAAAAAAAAAAGGATAAGGATTGAACAAGAAGAACCTAAAAAATGTCAATTTACCTTCGAAAATCTGAAGATTTCAATTTTTCACTGTATCAAGAAGATCTAATATTGATCATACATTATTAATGATTTAGTTATTGGTTGATTCGATGTTAACTTCGATGGAGATTTATAAATGTTGACAGAGGGTACGCTCAAAGTTGAGAAACTGCCGACATTTTGGCTGCCGACGCCGTTCGCGACGTTGCGCTATTTTCTCAACATTTGACTAATTTTTTAAGAAATTATATATCTTATAATTATTTACATAAAATAAATAATAATTTATGTAAAAAAGAAAATTATATGACTGTATTATTTTACTATTACATAAAATTTCTAAAATTTCTATAATTGTATTTTATTTAGATTGTTACTTGATTTTTTAGTAAACATCCGCCGGAAATAATAGAAAAGCAATAAATTTGACTTTTACGTTTAATTTTGATGTAATTTTTAATAATATTTCATTTTTTAAATCTTATTTTTTAATAATAACAATTTTTATTTTTAATTAAACATTCTTTATTTATTTAATTTTTTTGCATAATTCTATTATTTGTATATAATATAAAAGATTTAAAAATATATTTTGATATATCATCATTATTCATTAAATTGAAATTCTGGAATTTTTTATTTAATCTATATAAATATATCATAATTTGATTAAAAAAAATATTTTTTTTGATTAAATATAAAATATTTTATAATCAAAATATGTGATTTTTGCGTAATAATTTTTATTATTAATTTTCCCGGGTAAATTTTAAATTGCTTATAGTTCTATTATCTGCCGTCTGGATTAAAAAAGCGCTACTATCTCTTGTAGATGAAACTACGTAAAAATGGGACGTATGCACGCACCAGGGTAAAATTAATTTAATTTTAATGTAATTTATTATTATATATAATTTTAAAACTTATTTTCTTTTATATTTTTCATTTCTTTAAAATTTTTATAGTGTAACTTAATAAATTTTTTTATATAAATTGTTATTAAAATCATACCACTTCACAACCATGTGTTTTCTATTTTAAAATTATAATATTCATAGTTTTTTGAAATTTTTGGAGACATTTTGATATATTTTAATTTAATATTCAATAATATTAATTTATTATAATACTAAAATAAAAAAGAGCCAATTCTTTTTACAGGTTTTTTATAGTTTATTTTTTTTATAATACACAACCTTAATTTTTTTCAGTTTCTGAACATATTAATTAATAATATTTTTCTTGATTATTATTGTTGGTTGATTTTTACTTATATATAGTTTATCTAATAATTTCTATTAATTTAACAAAAAATTGTAAATATAAAATAATAAATAAATGATAAAATGTAAATTTAAAAGAACTTTTAATAATGAAAATTTATTATGTTTTAGAAAGGGTATATCCCAATCAGCATTACCTTATAGACGCAGTGTACCTACATGGTTAAAACTTACACCGGAGGATTGTAAAGAGTTAATTTATAAGCTTGCCAAAAAGGGACATACTCCATCTCAAATTGGTAACTTTTTATTTTATTAATTTTATAATCAATTTGTAAAAAATTATTATTATACATTAATATATATATATATATATATATTTATTATAAAATAATTTATATGCTTCATTTTATTTATGTTTTGCTTATGTATTTTAAAATTTTATTCTTTTCTAAGCAAATTGATTTAAACTAAGATTCAATGTTCTTCATATTGTTTCTTATTAATAATTTGCAATATTAAAGTCATGGTGATTTTTGAGATGGTTTGATGATTTTATCATATTATTATAGGTATTCACCAATACTTAAAAATTGTTAATATATTTTATTTAAATAAAGTAAATTTATTCATTTATAATAAGATATTATATACAATAATGATTAAATAACAAAATGTTTTAGGTGTTATTCTTCGAGATTCTCATGGAGTTGCTCAAGTACGTTTTCGTACTGGAAATAAGATTCTCAGAATTGTCAAAAGTATGGGTCTTGCTCCAGATTTGCCAGAAGATCTTTATTATCTTATAAAAAAGGCAGTTGCTATTAGAAAACATTTAGAAAGAAATCGTAAAGACAAGGATAGCAAGTTTAGATTGATACTTGTGGAATCTAGAATTCATCGACTTGCTCGATATTACAAATCAAAGGGAACTCTTCCTGCAAATTGGAAATATGAGAGTTCTACTGCTAGTGCTCTTGTTGCTTAATTATTTTCATGTATGTATTTCTTAACAAAATAAAAATTTAAATATAAATTATTTGTATTTTAATAAGTATAATTTATATATTATATTATATATATATTAATAAATTCTGTTCCCATTTATTTATGCAATTTAAGTATACAAAATATTTGTATATTAGATATTTTTGGAAAATAAATTTTAAAATTATAAATAATTTAAATTTGTGTTAGATAAAGCAAAATAGTGAAGTAAGGAAAATAGATGTATTTCACTATATCTATGTCTTATTTAATGCAAATTAAAATTGTTTATATAAATACATAAACTTTAACTATCATTGCATATTTTGGACTTATTTTAAAAATCTATGAATATTTTGGATTTATTTTAAAAATCTATGATCTAAAAATGTTCCATGAATATTATTATTAATTATATTAATATTCTGTATTTGTTTAATTTTGAATATACTACATATTAATTATAGTATTCTAACATAATCTATATAATATTAAAATTTATTAATATTCCAAATTCATATTCTATATGTTGCATATTATATAATATTGTATATTTGTATAAAAATAAAAAAAATTTAAATAAATTTTTTTCTCTTTTAAAATTGAATCTTTTTTAGAATTATTATTATTATTATTTAATTAAATAAATCTATTTAAATAAATCTAAAATATTATTTATAGAAAGATCATAATAATATTATTTATAAGTAAAATTTATTATTCGTTACAAATTGTAAATATAGTTATAAATATAGCAAACAAAACATATAAATATATTACAATATATGACATTGATTTTTATTTTACAATTTAATTGAGATAGTCGTAAATTATTTTTTTTTTAATTTACTTTAAAAATAATTGTAAATAAATATATTTGAACATAAATTAACAAATTCGATTTACAACCATAAATATTATAAATAAAAATATTATATTTTTTTATATATTTTCAAATAATATAATATACTCCCGAAGAATATTTAAGAATTACATATCATTTACCAAACCCATTACTCCTACTGTCCCAATCAGGCCCATATAGTGTGTGAAGAGGGGACCATAAAGAGATTAGTTGCGCATGCGTAATCTTCGTCCTCGACTTCTTTTGAGAAAGGCGCATGCGTTCACCAAGATGGCGGATAGGTTCTCATTCTCCAGTGGGCAAAGCTCTTTCAAAGTTGCGCCATATTAAAAAACACTGGAGTAATTTCTCAGATTTTTAATTAATTTTAAGATTAAAATTCACATCGAAAAATTTTTTATTCGTTACTTTTATTTTATTAAAGTGAAATAAAAAGATTGTATACGTGAATTTGACGATTTCAGGAAATAAATTATGGGTAATGGAGAAGACGCGAGTGCCTTTGACGTTTGCGAACCATATTGAAAGGCATTTGGAAAAGTTGTTGTCAAAGAAAGGTATGCCGATTAATAAAATGGAAATATATATTTTTAGATAGGTTTAATAGATATATTCAATTTTTTAAAAACTAATTTTTAAATATAATTATTATGAATTATGATTTAAATGATTTAAATGCATATAAATAGTATTTGAAATTTTTTCATAACTGACGAAATTAAAATTACACGTGATTTTTTTTATTATGTTTATCGTTTTAAAGATTAAGATTAAGAATGATTTGAAACTTTAACGATTTAAATGTAAAACATATTAAAAATTTTTTAAATATTTTCAAAATATATAAAGATATATGGCATATGGAATTTATTAGTTGACATATATGAAAATACCGTATATTTTTTTTTAAATTTACTAAAAAAATAATTTAATATAATCCTTTAAAATTAATAATATTTCTTCTAATATTCCTATATTAATATATTATTATTTTTATTATAATATATTAAATTATGATATTAATATAAATATAAATATATAATAAAAATAATTATGATATAAAAGATAATTACATTATTATTAATTTCTAAATTTTAAAATAAAAATAATATATTATG